CCAACACTCACTACCACTCATCATTCCTCCTCATACCGCCTAGTGTTTCTGAGAACACCCAACTATGTCTCTCTCCTCCAGGATTGGTTAACTTCCTGCTAATTATTATTTTCTTCACAAATCAAATGCTTCTCAGAACAACTTTCATGTCACTCTGGGAAAAGTCGAGTTGTCTTGGCTCAACGGAGCCAAGTTTGTTGATGAGAAATCCACATTCCTTGATTAAGTGTTTGTTCATTGTTTTCTTACTATTCGTAAAACGAAAAAAAATCATTAACTTATACTTTCGCAAAAGCAGACTTGCTTTCCTATTTTCTTTAAGCATTGACTTTACGTTATCCTCAGTGAACCTATACTATCAGGGACTAGCGACAATGTCTGTAAATTCTATAAAAAAAATTATTTTACCGACTCTCGGTATATAAAGGAATTCTCAGACGTCATATTCAACAGGATCTTTCTGCTTAATTTTGTTTTATCATACTCAATTATTGTTCTATTTTCTCAGCAGCTGAAGATCAAGGGCAGACTGGAACCAGCAGGTAGTGAACATGACGAATGACCTTCAGAGCGACACAGTGAAGAAAAAGAGGAATACACTAAGATTTAAAAGAAAAATAATGGATGTAAAAATAAGCTTGGGGGCAAATATGATTGTAGAAATAGAGGAAATTGATGAGAAAAATAAAATTACAGAGAAGAGCAAAGATGTAGAAAAGGAAAAAAGATACGACTAAACGTACATTCCTCCTTGTCTGAAGAACCTCCGGGGATTGAGAAGAAAAAAAAAACAAGTCTTCGCGTCGTTTTGCCCTCAAGGTCAACAGGTGTGGAGACGGGCTCTGCGGAACCCCCACCCCAGCCACCCTCATCAACTGCCCCGGTTACCAAGGGCATCGAGAGACCATCTACATATTTCAGGGACATTTTAGCAGTGTTGGAAGAGATAATGCAAAGAACAGGTTCTTAAAAAGGAGGCGAATATTCGTAAGGATGTTAAAAGGAGATAGAGCTGAGGTGTATATTCGAATACTTACAAAGAAAATCTTCTTAATGTGTCTTGTCTTAGGATACGTTTTTCTTTATAGGGGTTGAATATTTAATGGATAAACCTGAAAGGGAAATTTAATGGAGTGTCTGTGAAGGATTTTTAATAAAGAAATTTTTTAAAAGAGTCGAATATTTTAAGAACATATTTGTATGGGAGATGAGTATAAGGAGAATTGAATATATCGGGAGTCAAATATTTACGGGAAAACCATTAAAAAAGTTGACAGTTTAAGGAGAGTAATCTCTAGTTACCTGTTATAAAATAAACTATATACAGGAATTGAATAGTTAAAGGGGCAAGATTTAAAGAGATTGAATAGTCTAGTGAAGACATCACAATAAATAGTTAAGTATTTAAGGAGAGAAATTTAAAGGATGTGAATATCGTCCGGAAGAATATTTTAAGAAATGATATATTTCAAAGAACAATACTTAAAACAAGGATTTAAATGTGTACAGATGAATGTTTTAAGTAAAATCTTTATGTAATAGAAAAAATATCTTGATAGAGTCGCAGATTTTAAAGGACAACACATAAAGGACTTGATTATATTAAGGGAAAATTACATAGAGCAGTTGTATATCTTTAAGGAAAAAACACCCAAACAAGTATTCTAAGGGACAATACTTAAAAAAAGTAAACATTATAGAAAATCAACACAAGTAGCCGAAGTGTGATCTACTTCTGAGGTAGACATTGACCACCTCCCCCCCCCAGGTACAACATCTGCTTCTGGTTTCCACCAAGATGCTAAACTAATTCCCCAGGTGATCTCTCTTGTTTTTACTACAATATGGCTGTTTAGAAAATAGCCAGGTGGGACATAATTGAGGCCGGTCTCTCTTTTGTGTGTTTTAAGTCCGTTTGTCCATGGTATGAAGAGTCTTGCTCATCTGATTCTAATAGTACATCATTCTTCAGTTGTTGTTTTTTAAGTAATAATCGGATTGTGTTATTTGTATCCGAGGATGTTGGCTCCTGGTAATATGTAATTGAATTCATGAGGAATAAGATGTTGAGTTCTCTCTCTCTCTCTCTCTCTCTCCTCTTCCTCCGTTATTATTATTTTTTATCTACCTATGGTGTTTTTCTTTCGTAATCTATCCCTATCCTTATTATCGCTTTTCTCTCTAACTATGGCATTTTCTTTCGTTACTATTATCTTAATTTGCACTCCCTCGAGAGACGTAAAGTGAGGGACGATATGATCGAGGTGTATAAATGGAAGTCAAGGCTGAACAAAGGTAATATAACAAAGGTACTCAAACTATCCAACCAGGAGCGAACTCGTAACAATGGTTTTAAATTACAGTAGACAAATTTAGATTTAGGCGCAAAATAGGTAAACATTGGTTTGGAAATAGAGTAGTGGATGAGTGGAACAAGTTACCAAACATCATCATTAACTCGAATACGTTGGATAGCTTCAAACATAGGTTGGATGGATATGTGAGCGATAGGGGTTGGGTGTAAATGGGGCTGTCCAGTATGGGCCAATAGGCCCGCTGCAGTTTCCTCCATTCTTATGTTCTCTCTCTCTCTCTCTCTGTCCACCTATGGCTGGGCGAACGGCCGTTGTTGTGGCCACATAGTCTGCTGACGGCCCCCTTGTGTAGTGACCTACACACACACACACACACATATGGTGGACAAACATTCACACACCTGCTGGACAAACATTCATTCCTGTTACTGTTGAAACTAATTTTACTTATATTATTGCTTTCTTCCCCAATCATCCTTGTTATTATCACTCTTTCTCTGTCTGTTTATACCTTTAGTTATTTCTGTCTATCTACCTCTTTCGTTTCCTTCTTTGCTTGATTATCAAATGTTTCTCTCTTTGCTCTCACAGTGCTGCCACATCCTGGTGTTGACACTCTCAGTGTTACCAATAATTGTGTGATTGTAGAGAACATTGTGTATTTGTGTGTGTGTTTATGTGCGTAAGAGGGTGTGTGAGTGATGTGCATGTGTGTGTGCGTAAGGGTGTGTGTGTAATAATAATAATAATAATAATAATAATAATAATAATAATAATAATAATAATAATAATTAACGATTTATTGAAAGAGCATGGAAGCCGAAAGGGGAATGGGTCACTTGATTGACAAGTAACATACAAGTAACATAAGTGATACAAATATGATATATAATAACTTGGTGGGGAAAAGGTCATACAAAAGGGCATTTGAACATGGTAACAGTGCAAAAAGGTAAGATTGACTGGGAGTGAATACACTGGTTGATTACGAGTTGTTGATAATTTTTACAATGTTTGGGACTGAGCTGTTCTTTTAGCGATCTGTACGTGCTCGTATGGGCTGGATGCGGTTGTGGTGTAAGAGTGTACAGTATATGTGTGTGTGTGTGTGTGTGTGTGTGTGTGTGTGTGTGTGTGTGTGTGTGACTATTCATAATCAAACATGTTCAATTTATCTTTTATTTTCTCTTTTTTCTTTGTTGCTTTACGTTTCACCTCACATTTGTCTCAGAATCAATTAATAAGTAAATAAAATATAACAATATTTTCCTTGAATATCGACACACAGATACACAAACGATAAATAAAATAACTGATAAGAACATCGACTTGAAGTTTAAGTTAATATTAGAATAAACTTTTACCGACGAAAAAAAATTCTAGGAAGAAAAAATTCCCCCAAACGATAACTTACTAAAAATTCAAGCTCTCTAGACAGCCACTGACAGGCAAGTCACGCTGCCAGTGGCAAGTGTCGGAATATTTGGCTCGAGAATATTTTGGTCAGGTAAGTTTCGTAATTTAGTCTTACGATATGAATGTTAGTCAATTGGGAAGTGTCTCTCTCTCTCTCTCTATCTCTCCCTGTTTATCTTCTTACCTCACTGTCTGTCCTTATCTTTAAGTATCTGTTTATTAATGATGATCAATATGTGTATCTGTTTTTTAATCTACTTCTCTCATTATATATATATATATCACGCTTTCTCTCTTACACATTCTTCTACTACTACTGCTCTCGCTCTCTCTTATACACTAAAAACACAACAAGTAGAAAACAGTGAACAATGAGGTCAAAGGAGCTGGGAGACTCTCTGGTGACGCTCGCGGAGATCTCTTGAGGGCTAGAAAGTTTATTTGGTGTCAAGTGTATTGTTTTGTGGGTGTGTGTGTGTCGGGGAATAGTCGCTAGTTGGACTACAAAAAGCAAGTAACAGAATTACAACATTAAATCACCTCACACCTCAGTATCATCTATGAAAACTCACACCAACGCTGTACTCACTCTCTCATGCTATTGGTACTACACCTTGTCATAGAATGTGTGTGTTGTAGAAACAGCGAAGCGATCAACTGACCGCTGCATATTTTCTCTATAACTTGTGAAGATTTACGTCTTATTTGTATTATACCGATTAAGTTACGTCAAATGCTTTTGTCAAATGCAGAGACTAACACGCACTGAAATAAGCTTAAAGACTCCGCCACTGAAACACGTTAATTCAATACATCATCTGAGGGATAACATTATAATGGGTGAAGTTATCTGTAGCATGTGGGGAAGGGACTAAGCAGACATATCTAAACGTCCTCTCACACACACACTCATATAAAAACACGGGATAAAACAACCAAAACCCTGTTCAGGTACCATAAAATTACTTAAGTATTTCCGCAAATATCATACCCATGTTGGGAAGGGAAGGGAGTTGAACAGGTAAGATAGACACACACACACACACACACACACACACACACACATCAACTTCGAAATATTTATATGCTGCAATCTTTTTTATTAATTCATTGCAATCTAGTTCATGCTGAGGGAGTATGCGATGATTCCCTCAGATACTTTAACCTTGCCGACAAGATCGAGGCAGCAAGTATGCAAGTAGGGAGGACAGGTACACTCACGACCGCCAAATGTACACAAAAACTGGAAGGTCGGCGGCCAGTACTCACCCGCCACGAGGGCCACGCCTGCCACGAGAAACACCACTGTGTACATCTTCACTTGCCGAGCGCTGACTGCTGACTGGCTGCCGACACCAACGACCGAACCCCATCGCCTACCTGCCTCCCTTCCTACCTCCTTACCTCCCTCATCCTCCCGTCCTACCTCCCTACCTCTCTAATTCTCACTCTCTACCTCCCGACCTCCAACCTAATATACCTTCCTAGCTTCCTGCCTCCCTCCTCCTTCCTAATAGACTCCTTCCTTCCTGTTTACTTCCCTATCCTCCTTCTTGGACAGCTCCCTGTTTATCTTCCAACCTACCTACTTCCTATCTATCTATCTATCTCCTCCAACACGAGCATCTCCCTAACTCTCTCTCTACCTATTTTTCTGTCTGCCTTCTAACTTACCTATCTACTGTACGGCCAGTCGACGCCTCTAAAAAGTGTATATTCACTCAATTTCTTCTGAAGCAGGCACAACAGTGGTGAACATGGATAGACAGGCAGACAGACAGACAGACAGACAGAGACCTGATCACGAGATCTGAGGTTGACGAGTTCCACAACAATTTAAATAATGAGTTACTTAATGCACAAAGGCAGAACATACCATACAAAAAAATTAGATCAGACAACAATGACCCTAAATGGATAAATAATAATTTAAAGAATATTATTGGACAAAGGAAGGCTATAGGTAGGAGAACAAATTGTGGTGAAGTTTACCTCCGAGATTATTATAAGGTATTATACAGTAGGGTTAAGACCGAGACATGAAACGCAAATTGGAATAATGAACTGAAGGTAGCAATGAAGGCGAAGTCATACCCCAAGGGAATTCTTCAAATGTATCAAACTAAAACACGAGAAAAGATTGGACCAATACAGTCAGATACCGGCGAGCTAACTCACAACGACGGAGAAATGAGCAATAATCTGAATAAATATTTCTCAACAGTTTTTACCACCGAAAATTTAAACATGATATCCGAGGCACCGACTATATACAGAGATAGTGAAGAAAATAAATTAAGCGAGATAGTAGTGACTAATAATGATGTTAGTTAGCAAATAGACAAACTAAAGCCTAATAAGTCACCAGGTCCCGATGAGATATTAACCAGAGTATTAAAGGAATGTAAGGAAGAGCTTAGTATGCCCTTAGCAAAGTTGTTTAATATGTGCTAAAAAACGGATGTAGTACCAGAATCCTGGAGGATAGCTAATGTAATACCGATTTTCGAGAAGGGATATAGATCACTATCCTCTAACTATCTTCCAATCAGTTTAACATCAATTGTAGGCAAATTACTGGAAGCAATAATTCCAAACTCTATTCGAAATCACCTGGAGAAGCACAAGTTGATCAATGATTCCCAAAATGGATTCAAAAGTGGGCGTTCATGTCTGACTAATCTCTTAACATTCTTTTCAGCTGTTTTCGAATCAGTAGACGAGAGGAACGACTATCATGTGGTATATCTTGACATTAGCAAAGCCTTCGACAGAGTCCCCCACGAAAGACTAATAAGAAAAGTGAAGGCTCGTGGTATTGGAGGAGATATTCTAAAATGGATTAGTGCGTGGTTACAGGACAGGAAACAGCGAGTGAGCATTAACGGCACTAAATCCGATTGCAGTAACATCACTAGTGGAATACGCCAAGGCTCAGTACTTGGACCATTACTATTTATTATATATATAAACGGCATAGATATCGGCGTAAACAGCAACATAAGTAAATTTGCTGATAACACTAAAATAGGGCGTGTAATTAAATCAGATGAGGACTCCGCAAAACTACAGGAAGATCTAAACAAATATTTCGAATGGTTTGAAAAATGGCAAATGAAATTCAAAGTGGACAAATGTAAAGTACTTAGTCTAGGAGATGTAATCAGAGAAACCAGATATCAGATGAACAACGGTGTTATAGAGAAATCCGAATGTGAGAAAGATTTAGGAGTAATGATCAGTAGGAATCTTAAGCCAAGTAAACAATGTGTAGTTGCTCGAAACAAGGCTAATAAAGTACTTGGGTTCATACAAAGGAGTGTTAGTTACAAGACGAGAAGTCATCCTAAAACTATATCTTACGCTTGCGAGACCTCACATGGATTACGCAGTTCAATTCTGGTCACCGTATTACAGAATGGATATAGAATCCCAAGAAAGAATTCAGAGGAGAATGACAAGACTGATCCCTGGTATTAGGAACCTTGAGTACAGAGACAGGTTAAAGCATCTTAATTTGCACTCCCTCGAGAGACGTAGAGTGAGGGGCGATGAGATAGAGGTGTATAAATGGAAGTCAGGGCTAAACAAAGGGGACATTACAAAAGTACTCAAACTATCCAACGAGGAGCAAACTCGTAACAATGGGTTTAAATTAGACAAATTTAGATTTAGGCGCGAAATAGGTAAACATTGGTTTGGAAATAGAGTAGTGGATGAATGGAACAAGTTACCAAACATCAACATTAACTCGAATACGCTGGATAGCTTCAAACATAGGATGGATGGATATATGAGCAATAGGGGTTGGGTGTAATGGGACTGCCCAGTATGGGCCAATAGGCCCGCTGCAGTTTCTTCCATTCTTATGTTCTTATGACAGACAGACAGACAGACAGACAGACAGACAGACAGAGAGAGAGAGAGAGAGAGAGAGAGAGAGAGAGAGAGAGAGAGAGAGAGAGAGAGAGAGAGAGAGAGAAGATAAATGTAGAATGAGTAAATAAGAATGTAGAAAAAAGAGAAAGATAGAAAGAGAGAAAGAAAGAAAGAAAGAAAGAAAGATAGAAAGAAAGAAAGAAAGAAAATGGTATTATGTAGTATGATCTGTTCATAAGAGAGAACCGTTTCTAAGACTTCCTTCACCTGCAGAAGTTTCTCCTGCAAAAGGCATAGAAGCTCACCACCAGTTACTTGATGTTATACCATGAAAATTTGTTTATAGTAAGAGATGCTTCATGGGTTTTATAATGTTGTGAACATGACCTACAGCACATAAAATCAGTTTCTCTATTTACCTGCCTGTCTGTCTGCCTGTCTGCCTGCCTGTCTGCCTGCCTGTCTGTCTGTCTGTCTGCCTGTCTCAGTAATGCGAGAAATGGTAAGCCTGTTATGGCCGCCTAACTGTACGTTGTCTCCTTTATGCCTGTCATTACTCGCGGTTGGCTGTCTATCTGTCTGTTTATTTACTGTTTCTTTAACACTTTTTTTAATCCATGTTAGTCACCATAGTGAATACCACTCTTGACTGACTGACTGACTGACTAATTAGTTGGAGAGAGAGAGAGAGAGAGCCATCTTTGTTCACAACACTGCACCAATCTTCAAGCATAACTAAGGCGTGGCTGCTAACTTGCTAAATAGTTTCTCAACTCTCAGGTACCCCCCCCCCCCTAGAGGCAGTGGTCAGTGGCTGTCCAGTATTTTCTCACTTGTGCACATAGCACAAGAGGTGGGCGCCTCGAACTGGCTAACAACGTTACCGATAAGGGTAAAATGCTTCATCCTTAATAAAGAGGAATTCACAGATGCCATTGCTCTAAGGTACGGTAGGCCAGTAGAAGGTTTGCCCTCCCAATGCGTGTGTGGCTCATCTTATGACATTGACCACGCCATGGTGTGCAAGAAAGGGGCTTCGTATGCATGACGAAGTAAGGGATCTCACAACAAATTTGCTGAAGGAAATCTGCCACTACGTCATGGTGGAACCGCCCCTCCTTCCATTGGACGGTTAAGAACCTCCGTCACAGGACTTCAAACACATCCAAAGAAGCCCGAGTGGACGTCAGTGATTGAGGATTCTGGACGCGTGGACAGCGAGACTTCTTTGATATAAGGATTTTAGATCCCATGGCTACATGTCACAGTAACCTAGCTCTCGATGCTGTACACAGGAAGAACGAGAATGACAAGATCAAGGCATACGAGGAGAGAATTCTGAATAAAAATCAGGGCAGATTCACTACTCTGGTGTTCACAACCTCTGGTGGGATGGGAACAAGTGCAAGATGCTTCTACGCCAGACTCGCGGAGGTGATATACGAACAGAAGCAGCAGCCCAGAAGTTATATTACAGAATGGATGAGATGTCGACTGTTCTTCTCTCTCCTTAAGTCGGCTTTGCTCTGCCTCAGGGGAACGAGAGCATCCGCCCCAAAGCCGACAACAGTTGCAGATATTGACTATGAGGCAACAGTCACTGAATGCCGCATAAATCTGCGGCTCAACTAACTCAACACAGCTAGGATAGCTAATTATGTATTAGGTTATTTAATTTTCAGGTAATAAAATGGTGGCGAAGGTGTGGATATAAGGGGAGGATGAAGGCCATTAAAAGAAAATAATAATTATAGTAGTAGTAGTAGTAGGAGGAGGAGGAGAAGGAGGTGGAGGAGGAGCAGGAGGAGGAAATTGGTTTCCATTCACAATTCCTTCCACTTATGAAAGGTAAACAGTTGTTATCCATTGATACTCCAAACGCGAATCATCTCCTCTAAGCCTTTGATAACTTTTACTTCTTGTATATCATTACTTCCTGTTTAGCTTAATGTTAACTCCTCTAGACCTTATACTCAAGAGAGACCAATAGTTATGGCTGAAACAATGTGAACTTTTGGTTGTTTTCATTAATAAAAAACACCCTGCCTACTTTCATTAGAACTGGTTTTGAAATGTTGTCAAATATCGGTTTAAACTAGTTATCTCTCTCTCTCTCTCTCTCTCTCTCTCTCTCTCTCTCTCTCTCTCAGTGACCTTAACCATAGAAAAGTTCTGTACATTTTACTTACGTTTCCATTTGTGTTAAGAAAGTGTAGTACAAATGAACCTCCAGATCTTTGTGTGTACTGTATTCACTCGTCATTGTGAGGAGACAATAATGTACATGATGCAGTAGTCATTTTCAACACTGTTCAACACACTCAACCATGGTTAACACACACTCAGCCAAAGTTAACACACACTCAACCATAGTTAACACACACTCAACCATGGTTAACACACACTCAGCCATAGTTAACACACACTCAACCATAGTTAACGCACACTCAACCATAGTTAACACACACTCAGCCATAGTTAACACACACTCAGC